GACATATAGATTGAAAAATTTGGAATTCAAATGCCTATCCTATTATCTATTGAAACTGACCCTATGAATTCTGCAAAACAGTGATTTTGTTTTTGACCTTTGGTTACTAAATCAATGGTAACTCTCTGTTGGACAATTCAATTCATATGAAGCTTATTTTATTTGAAAGTAGATTGAAATATCTTTTCAATGATATATTTTTTAGTAAATTGGAGCACGATTGATAGTTTGAATCATTTATTCAATGTGCCTCTTGAATTCTACCAAAAATCGAGCTTTGGTCGATTTTGTATATTCTGGTTTCATTCATTTGAAAATTGATATCCTTTAGCTTTCTTATTCAATTGAGCTTTATATTACTGCTTTGAATTCTTGTATACTCTTATCCTTAAAATTATTTGCATTCTTGAAAACTATTGTGTAACGTTTATGCTATATCGTATTGACTCATATAGGCACATGTATATCCCATTGTTCCGCATTTGCTTTCGATATGTGCCTATTCCAGTTTCATTCCTTTGGACATTGAATTTATCTAACCTTCTTATTTGAATTGATTTATATGTGATTGCTTGGAATCCTTAATGCTCTTGCTTTCATTTCCTTTCAAATCTAAATACAATTGTGAAAGATTATTGCTTACTTTGTATTGACTCGTAAAGGCACATGTACATTTTGTTGTTCCGCATGTGCTTTCGATATGTGCTATTTATTGTTCATACTATCGTTTTGTACTATGGTGTTTGTGGGATATTGTGAACCTTTGCTAGAAATAGTGAAGGGAGTTATGCATAGAGCCTGTGATGCTCTGTCGACCCTTATGACTTCACTCATACGTGGGTGGATGGAGCTCCCAAACATGGGAGACCTCCCAGATGTGGGAGACTTATGTTTGGTGGTCATTCAGAAATAGATGTACCATATTATATTATAGTCCTACTTCACCTTTTGTATGTTTGATATGGTATCCAAAGCTTTGGTTATGTGTTTCTATACATGCTTTAGATAAGAATGATATGAATGCAACGTCAAATTCGACGTTTGAGCTTCTATTTCATATTCGTCTTTAAAAATGCTCTGAAATGGTCCAAACGCTATTGATATGTTCATAAATGTTTCAATTATCATTGATAAGCTCCGAAACATTTCATATACCTTTGATATGCTCCAAAATATTTCATTTGCTATTGTTATGCTTCAAAATATTTCATATGTTGTTGATATGCTTCGAAACATTTCATATGCTATTGATATGCTCCAATTACTCTATGCTCCATCTGTTATGAACCAAATATGTTTGATTGAAATGACATTTGTGATTCTGCACCTAATGAGATTACATCTATGAATTCTTATATTCTGTCTTGCATTTTGAAACCTTATTTGTTTGGAAATTGCCCTCTTTTACCATGGATATATTAGTCACTTGCTGAGCTTTATATGCTCACCCCGTTGCTGTATAAATTTTTCAGGATAGCTTGTCGCTTGCTTAAATGTTAAGATTGGGCTAAGGCAGTGGAAAGCTAAAAGATTTTGGGTAGATCTTTATTAGTATATATGTTTTTTGTTGTATAAGCACACTCTGCATCTAATGAAATGTTGATGATGAATCTAAACTTGTGGATTTTGTATAAGTTTAAAGGACCTCTCATGTTTAGGATTCTGGAACGTTAAATTTAATTCGTGTAATGATATGAACTTAAGGTAAACGTTGGTTTTGTGACTGTATAGACTCCCACACTTATGAATTTATGTTGTGGTTATTATTTTGGTGAGTTGGGTTTAGATTTTATGAATCATCGAGCGATGTGTTGTATGTTTATGAACTGCACAATGTTTATAAATTTGTAGATTATAGAGGTGAAATTTTGATCTGAATGTCTTCTTAGTGACCTCAAATATGTGTTTAGATCCTGGATGGATTTGTGTTGAAAAGTTTTTTAATATTATCGATATTTTGAGGGGTGTGACATATCCTAGAAACCATATACTATGTAAGGTGCTATCAGACTCATACAGTTTCTCCTTGAATCACACTCTAATCGAATTCTCCCGATGAACTCTTTCTTTCTCAATTCGAACGACCTTGGCCAAGATTTATCTGAGCAAGAATACATAGGATTTTCTCTCATGATACCGGGAGCGAATGATCCTCTATCGGTACTCAATAGCCCTCATAAGGTTGGATGCTACTCCCAATAATCGGTTATACTAGATCTAAAACTTTCAAATCTATAAGTTCAGAGTACTCATATAGGATATCATTAATGTCTCAAGTATAAAGACCAGATACACTACTGGGTCTACGGAATCACTGTCTAACAATAAGGCATCATCAACCATCCAGTATTCCGTGAGCGAATTAATCAATGAACCCATTCTTCAATGAGCAACTACATTGTATCCCTTTTGTCCCCACACGAGCAGCTATAAGACCAATTGCCTCTATCATGTGGACGGGCATATAATACATCAGTCCATCTAGTTATCTCGATGTCCCTCTCGAGTAACCTTTGACAAGGATTATTTAGGATCTGTGTATAAAGGTGAATCAGTCTCGTTATCGTAATTTCATCACGATTTGATTCCTATTATGCAAATCCATGGACATCACAATACATGTATATATATATACATATATACATGTATATATATATACATATATACATGTATATATATATACATA